TGTTCTGTGCAAGCTAGAATCTGATTCACAGACTATCTGGCAGGTTTTATCACACATCCCATTCTAAAGCTACACGTACAGTTTTCTCATACACAGTCAAATTTGTATTAAAAAGGAAAAGAGACAAAGCAACTTTAACACTTACTTATTAGAAGCAATTTCTAGTGATCAAGAAGTACATTTCCTATAAGTAGCATTACATGTATGTAGGTAATAATTTCATACATTTTTAGTGTTGTGAAAATGGAAGGCAAAAGTACTGAACTAGTAAAATCCAGAACTTTGGATAAGAAATACAAAATTCTAGATTTGAAGAAATTCCTTACTTTTACAAGAACTTTTTAAAACAAAATTCATAAAGTTCAGCAGGTTCCCCTGATTATGCATAATGACATTTCAGAAATCTGAGAAGGAAAAAAGGCCTATTGTATAACTTTTTCTTCTGCTAATTTAAGATTCACCCATAACTATTTCAAGTTTATGTCCCACTAGGCCTACCCAATAATTTAATTAAAGTGCAGAACATTACTTTTATTAAAGTAGCTCTGATAAGCAGAATATGGAAATAAAAGAGCCATTTTTAATACCCAAAGGACACTATTTGTTTACAGTTAACATATGAGAAGAAAAAATCATGCCTCTGGATGTTGGATTTTATAAATTCTATGTATATTGGTTGAGTCATAGAGCAAGGAGAAAGAGACAGGAACAATTGCAAACAAAGGAATTGTATGGAGAAACAGTTCATGCTGAAATGAAAATGAAATGTTAGCCAAGAGAAAAATAACAGAACCACTGAAGTTTTAAAAGAATGCTTCATTATTTGTCAGCTTAAAAAAATAGTAAAAAATGACAAATGATCTGTGTTAGAAAAAGTAGCTAGACAAGTTCCAAAGGATAAGCTGAAAGACTTCTCAGGCTGGGGATGACCTACCAAAACTCTGACCTTTGAAAGAAATCCATAATTCCCTGAGAAAAGATCTCTTCTGCTGTATTAATGATTGTACTAAATTGAGGTATTGTTCTCCTGCTTGTTTAACATGCCTCTCAAATTATCCTGTAGGACCGATCAAGCTGACATGTTGGAATGGGAGGCAAGGTAAACTCATTTGAACAAAACTGCCTTAATGTGCAGACAACACTTCTGTATATAATCCTTTTATTGGCCCTTACATTAAATGTACAGTAAGTACCTGATATTTCTTCAGCTCTCTTTTAAGTTGAAGAATCGTGATATGATACGGTCCTTCTTGGTTGGCTACTGTTCCACTGTTCATCTGGGGAATAGATGCCTCTCTCCTAAGTTCCTGAGCTACACGGATCCATTCTTGTAGTTTTTCAAGTTGATTTTTTGATAGGTTGGCAATGTTTTTAAAATCAACAAGAAATAAATAAGCTTCTTCAATGCAATTTCGCAAATTAAAACTTTCGATTTGAAATTGAGCAAGCTGCTGTTCAAGGCAGCGGATTCTGTTTTTGTCTTGGCATAAATCCTGTGACCCTTGACTACCAGAGGACTGTCCATTAGTTTGTTGGTTTTGCAAGGCTTCCCGAAGCAACTTAATGGCAAGCTCCATTTCATCTATACGATCCCAGTCTGGGTTATAGTTGACAATAGGTTTGTTCCTAATATTTTTTGCTCTATTTGCATACTTGATGGAATTTAATGATTCATCAAAATCAGAAGAAGATGGACTAATACATGTTATCATGACAGTCTTTGCATTGCCTCCTAAAGAGTCTTTAAGGATACGTGTGATTTTAGTATCTCTATATGGAATGTGTGCATTTTTTCTCTTTGGGTCTCCAAGTGCACTGATCACATTTCCCAGAGCTAGTAAACCACTGTTGATCTGAATTGATTCTTTGAATCTTTCACCAGTATTGCCAGTTTTTGTAACTCTTTCGGATCCCGCAAGATCTACAAAGTGAAACTTAGAAGCAATCTGCTGTCCTGAACTTTGGGGAGAATTTTGTGCACACTCTGTGTCCTTCTGCAAAGGTTGTTGTTGTTGATAGACACTGATGGTAAAAACAGCATGGGATCGGCTGGAATGCTCATTCATTTGGGTTGTCCCTGTATGTCTAGCAGCATTCCCCGTTTCCAACAGGCTCATCACTTCTTCTGTACTTTCCACTTGGCAGTCTTTGGCACCAACGATTACTTAAACAATAAAGGTTATAAATATAACATTTTCAGAAACATTCAGATTAAATTTTTAACAAATATATATAAGCAATCAAGTTATTTTTCAAGCAAGAAAGAATTCATATAAAATACAATATAAAATAAGCAAGCATGAATATGTGCAGCAAATGAAGTTTTCATCAAAATGTATGTTGTGATATCACAAAGATGCTTTGCCTCTTATATACTTGTACTTAAGAACTAGTATTTGTATGTAGTATAACATACATACAATTGTAGATTTGTAGATTATAAACTAATAGTTGAGTGGTAGTACAAATTCTTTGCAAGCAAAAAGTCCCATTCAATGTCTGCTATCTTAGGTAGAACTGGAAAAAAAATCTGTCAGAAATCCTGGAAAGTCACTGACTGTCAGTATAACCACTAATGAGCTGGACAAATTGATGATCTAACCTAGTATTCTTACAATATTTTTAACTATACTCAATTGCATAAAAATAGTTGCAGAGTCAATAGAAGGATAAGTAGGGAGTATTTTTGGATGTGCCGATACTTGTATATAGCTGTATGAAAATTTCATATTTTATGATGATCCACTGTGCCTCTAAGTGAGATAACAAATGAAAAGAAACTTTAAATGGAGAAAAAAAATACTCATAGCACTACAATGGACATTTGGAAAAAACGCATGCATTGTTATTCTAGAAATATTCAGCTAAACAGTAACACTTATCTATGTTTTTAACTTTGCTGAAAGGTGATATTTTAATTATGACTGACATCAATTATTAAACATTGACAAAGACTATTAAAGTATTACATTTAAAATACAAATTACTTTGCATAAAAATGAAAGTTACATTTCCTCTGAACAATTCAACTTTAATAAAATGAACTTAACATTTCTTAGAGGTACATCTGTAGAAAATATGAACATACATTTTAAAAATGTTTCAAAATTGTTAGCAAATAAAAATGTATTTGAAATTTTTATTTTTACCTGTATTGCCCTTTTCATCTTCTCTAATATGCAAATCTTTCATAGAGGTCTCTAGTTCCAGGAGATCTCTGAGTTCTTCTTTATAGACTTCTATGTACGAAACTTTCACTGTAAAATCAGTATTATGGTTTTCAGAAATAATCTGAAATATTTCTTGAATTGCCCGTGGAATAATACCTCTCTCTTCTTCTGCAACCGATGCTAAAATGAGAAAAAGAATGTAATCCAAACACAGCTGAAATATGCAGACTCCCAAATATCATAGCAATACTGAAAATGAAGTAAAAGGTATCTGAATGACTTTTAGCTCAATATGCTATATTTATGACACATTCAATTATCAGGGTCAGTCATACCAGCAGAGATAAAAATACAGGAAAAAAACTACCAAGCAATAACCAAAGAAACCTAAGAAAATATTCAGTGTCACAGCGGGGGAAAAAAATTAGAGAAACTTACTTTCCTTTCTCCTTCTGATAATCCCCAGAACACCACAGACACTTCAGAAAATTGAGATGAGGAGCTCTGGACTATGGCTTATTTATGGTATGGTTTGAAGGAGAGGATATGGCTCATGTTTGGGAGGGTTCTCCCCTTCTCCCTTAGTCCCTGACTATGAGGGATAGAAATGTACTTCATAACTACAGTATGATGCTGGTTACCACCCCTAGTGTTATAGTCATGTGTAAAGTTTTAGGAAACGTACTCACAAGGAAAATGTCACCAGTATTTTAAAATAACACTGCAGTTCCTTTATCTACCATTTTATCTGACATATGTAAAAATAGCTAAGAAGAACATGTAGAATACCCATTTATATTGGTGGCCTTCTTTCTTCAGCATTTACATTAACAGGTATAAATATCACCATAACCAAAATTACTTTTTTCATTTCTAATATTAGCACTCTTAAGGAAAACTATGTATTCTAGGGGCAAAATGCCAACAAACACAGTCTAAATATGTTCTAGGTTAGAAGTAATAAAGCTAAATATTTCTTTTACAGAAAGGTATTTCTTGTAAAATGAATTTGTACAGTCAGTAGATGAGGAAGATATCATAGCCAGTGCCTACCTCCATAGTCCTGTCTTGACCACCAGCTTTCCTGTATTCAAAATAATTGGCAATGGGCCTACTTAAATACAACTGTTTAGGATAGGATTCACACTTTGTATTAAGCTATAGTGTGGCTTGTCTTGATTCATGCGTTTTGCAAACAGTTATTCATGAAACAAACAAAGCATGTGTAAATTCATAGTTTGATTAAAAAGAGCTTCAATTTCATGTTATTTTGTGAGGTTTCTTTATAATTTATTAGAATATTTAAGGTAAAATTAATAGCTACATAAAAAGATATGCTCAATAAGAATAAAATATCAATAAATTAAAAGTTTATAATTATCATAAAATTTAAATGTTAAAACTCATTATATTGTCTTAAGAAATAGACATCTCTATCAAGATATAAACATTTTAATATTGATATCATCACTGTTTGTCATATTCCAAAGATAGCTCCATGTAATCATGTAAAGCAAAAAAGGGAAAAGGAGAAAAAAAGGGTTGTACTTCACATTATTTGGTAATTGTATGAATTTAATTAAGCACTTTATATTAAAATTTATTTTAATACCAAAAATCCACTTCCTTGGAAATGGGACTATGCTAAACTCATTGTTCAGATTAGCAGTATTTCATCTAGTATACAGGTAGTCCTTGATTTATGACCACAATTGAGCCCAAAATTTCTATTGTTGAGACATTTGTTAGTGAGTTTTGCCCCATTTTATGACCTTCCCTCAGTTGTTAAATGAAACACTGTAGTTGATAAGTTAGTAACCTGGTTGTTAAGTGAATTTGGCTTCTCCAATGACTTCGCTTGTCAGAAGGTCACAAAAGGTGATCACATGACCTTGGGACACAGCAATGGTCATAAATATGAACCAGTTGCCAAACAGCTGAATTTTGATCATATGATCGTGGGGATGCTGCAAAGATCATGACTGTGAAAAACAGTCATAAGTCACTTTTTTAATAGCCATTGTAATTTTGAACGGTCACTAAATGAACTCTTGTAAGTATAGGATTACCTGTATTATTGACATTCCGTCAAACAGTACATAGTGAAATTTTATCACCACTTTGGTGTCCATATTCATATCTGGTACTACAAATGTAGCAAGAAATCGGGGGAAAACAGTATAGCACAATAATGAACAATACTCCTTCCTTCTGACCCTCCATACTCACCACAATGGCCTGGTGTATATTGAGTTTGGATATACATTTTGTGACATCAGCACATGATGAAGACACATAGGTGAATACAGATATTTCTTACTAAAATTCATACTATCTTCCATTGACTATATACAATTCTACCTGCAGAATAGGCACCATTACTGAAATGTTTTTCTGTCACTTGATGCTTCCAACACTAGAGAGTGCAGAGAGTTAGGAAGATGATCTTGACAAAGATATGCAGGAACTGTTACATGGACAAAAGGGGCTGAAGCATTTTTTTAAAGTCCAGAACAAAAAGATAACATTTACAAGTGGTTCAGACAGATGCCTCTCTAATTCACTGAATTATGATGAGCAAGTATAGAAGAGTTTCAAGATTCTTTTACTATAACCAATCTCAGTTCAAACAGTTTTAGCCTTTCTCAAGTTGATTTTCCCAATATGGTCCACATAATGGGGCATCTGGCCTAAATTTGCTCTAAGAATTGGAAGACTCCCCTTCTCACAAATTTGTATGGAACCGCTAAACTAGCTAAAAGAAGACAACGGGAGACTTTATTTAATGTAATAGCTATTCCAAAATTGGTATCTTAGAAAGAAAATGACATTTGATAGAAATGCCTTTTATAAAAGTAAAGATTACTCTCAAAGTACCCAGCATAATGTTCTGATAGCATCTACAAAATGTGTGACAAAACTAGAATGAAACATGCCACATTATAATACTATGGCTTTTGTTCATTTAAACTAAAATATTTTAGTCCAATAGTTAATTTGGAAATGTTAGGTAGACTACTGTAATCTTCATGTTGCATATTAAAACTATGTTAAATAGAATTACCCAACCTTTAAACCCAACCTGTTCTAAAATGAAGAGTCAGGGATAGCAATTATCAGGAAATATTCAATTTGTGAAAATATTGCTCGTACTATTCCTTTTGGTGATTTTTTGACCATACAATTAAATAATAACTTTTTTCAGAACATACCAATGTGACCTCCTCCAATAGTATAAGTCTTTCCGGAGCCTGTCTGTCCATAGGCAAAAACTGTAGCATTATATCCTTCTATCAAAGATGCCACCAATGGCTTAATACATGTTGTATATACTTCATCTTGGGTTGAATGCTTGCCAAAAACAAAGTCAAAAGTGAAGACCCGGTCTTTTCCAATGATAATTTGCTGAGTATTTGAGATTAATCTCACACATACTTGATGATTGTGAAGTATTTCTTTGGAGAGCAAAGGTCTTATTCGTACTGCCACTTTAACAGGAATTTCTTCCATTGCAGCTTAAATGAGCATGTGCATTTGTTAATTTTAATGTACGCAACTTTTCTTTAATTCTTCATACTATTCTCAGTCTTCTACATTAGATAATAAAAGATATTCTATAGGAAGCAAAAAATAACATTTTAGAAATTACTTTCCTTGAAATAAAAAAAAAAAGCTAAATCTTGGAACATTTTGTTCTTCAACCAAAGCTTGCTACTGAATTAGCTTTGTATTTAGTAACTGCTGAAAGAATAATATGTTTCTTGTTCAAGAAGAATGGCTAATTAAACCCTTGATGTCCAAAATAGCTTAAAACTCAATGTGCCCCATCTGAAATGTGTGTTTCTCTTAACATACCTAGTTGGTCAGATATAGATTACTATAACTCTTAATCTCATTTTATGATTTAACGCTGTGCTGCTTTCAATTGCTGTTGCACATATTCAGATTTTTAACTACGATTTATACTTTAGTCTAAAGTCGCATTTCGTTACTTAAAACTAATTACTAAAATAGTGGAAACTCCTTCTGTGATGCCATTTTGTGCTATTTTTCCCCCGTGTGCAGGCGTTATCTTTTTCTTTAAAAAATTACCATTAAAGAACGTTATATTCAAGTATGCGCTATTAAATTATAACAGACGTGGCTACCATATAAGAGGGTTTTTTAAACCGGTTTTTACGCATCCTCACCACCATCCCTTCCCACCCGATCTCTCTGACACGCTCAAACTCAGCCTACGCGCCTTCCCTCCCGAGCGCTTCCGCTTAGCTTGCGCTATCCACGTTAGCCTTCGAGTTAAGATCCAAACGGACTCGCTCGCGGAGGGACCAGCCCGTCGGGCAGCACCTACCTTGCTGAGTTTGCGGCGGACCATAAAACTCCTACTTCAAGGTCTAGAGGGGCTGCCCTCCCCCCACAACAGCGGCAGTACCACCCGGACCTCCCCCCCCGCCGCCGCTTCCGCCTTTTGTTTACATTGGTTCACCAGGCAACTACGAAACGCTCCCGCCGCTGACAGAACCAGCGTCTTCCCCGAGGCCGGCGCCACCGCCTTCGCCTCGTCTGATAGGCCGCCAAGGGTAGCGCGCTCTGTCGGCGCAGGCGCACTGGTGCCGGAGTTGCCATCTGCCTTGTCGGGCAGCGTTCCCGAAAACTGAGGGAGGGAGGGAAACGCCTGTTCCTTTTTTGCTTTAAAAAGGGGGGGGGGGGGGGGAAGCGTCCAGCCTTGACAACTTTAAGATTTGTCGACTTCAACTCCCAGAATTCCCATGCTGGAGTTAAAGTCCGCAGGTCTTATAGTTGCCAAGGCTGGACACCCCTACTTTTAGCAAAGGGACCACGAAAATGAACTTAATTTACACTGAAGTGCTTCGCTTAATTCCATTGCTACTGGATTACAAGGATAAGTGGCACGTGTGTGAAAAAAGAATCCTAGATGATAATGAAGCATCTAACTCCTCGACATGGTATCTTCAGATGTTATCATTCCCAACTGTCCTTGTTGATGCGGGGGGGAGGGGGGGGGGCAGGCATCTCACCCCCGCTTCCCCCAGTTGAAAGCCATTTGGACAAATCACCCCCTAAAGTCAAGCTCACGAATGGTTTATCTTCTTTACGTGATGCATGAAGACTGAAATTGTATAAGCTGGAAGAATCCATGATTTGACTACAGGTCCTTGACTTACGACTAGAATAGAGCCCAAAATTTCTGTTGCTACGTGAGAAGTTGTTAAGTGAGGTTTTGCCTCATTTTGGGACCTACCTTGTCACAGTTGTTTAGCAAATCACTGCAATTGTTAAGCTAGTAACTTAAGTGTTAAGTGAATTGGCATCCCCATTGACTTTGCTTGTCAGAAGGTCACAAAAGGTGATCACATGACCTTGGGATGCTGCAACCGTCATAAATATGAACCAGTTGCCAAGCATCTGAGTTTTGATCACATGACCAGAGGATGCTGCAATAGTCATAAGTGTGAAAAATGGCCATATGTCACTTTTTTCAGTGCCGTTGTAACTTCAGTCACTAAACCAATGGTGGTAAGTTGCGGACTATCTGTATAGAAAAGGCCTATTTCAATATCTGTTATCTGCATGCAGAAGAACCAAAGGATAAAAAAAATTGTTCTTTGCGTTGAGGTCAACTCCCGGTGATCGTATAAGGCCATGTGTTGAACCTTCTAAGGTTTAAATATATATATATTTCCCATTTTATTTTATAATCCAAAGATTTCCTGGTAGTCTCTCATCCTGTTACTGCCTAGTCTTTTGAATCAACCAAGTCAACTAGATATTATCTTTTAATAAACAAGGAACAAGTCATTTTGTTTCCTGAAGAATCAGTTAATAATCTTTTGAAATATTACTGATTGCTTTTTGTTGTTGGCTTTTATTCTTTAGTTGTAATTTCAGATAATTTTTTTAAAAAATTCTTGTGTATCAACTTTGAATCAATGTTGCTGAATGACATTACCACGTTTTGAACAAAATAATCCTTGGTAAGCAGCACACAACTTCAGAAGGTACATCAAATGTAAACTGAAATGGTTTTTACTCAAATGCATGTTCAGCTACATGCACACAAGTAGGTAATTTGATTACAATAATATTAATTTGCAAGATATCTTTTGATTTTATATGTCAGTGGTGGCGAACCTATGGCACAGGTGCCAGAGGCGGCACGCAGAGCTCTCTCTATGGGCACGCATGCCGTCGTCCCAGTCCTAGGCCTTCAGCTGGGTTTTATAAAACCTTTTCGCTTTAGGCCTCTGCCGCAGTGTGCAAAAAAAAAAAAAAAGTTTAATCAATCAGTCAGTTTCAACTTTTCCCGGGAAAAAAAAAGATTTTACAAACTTGGAATTGATTGATTGAACTTTTAAGTCCCACCCAGTCTGCCGTTACCACTGCAGCCACACTCACCCGATGGGCCACACCCACCCAATTGACCACACCCACCCAATGGGCCACACCCACTCGGCACCCGACGATGCATAAGTGGGTTTTGGGTTGCAGTTTGGGCACTCGGTCTCTAAAAGATTTGCCACCACTGTTATATGTAATCCAGATTTTTTACAGTTTCACACATTTTAATCAAATCCATTAAGCAAATATATTGCTTGCAGAATTGGAATGTAAATAAGCAAGAAAATGCCTTTCTTCTGATAAAGTGGAGATTAAAGAGCCAAATCTTAAGTGACTACATGGGCAGCCATGCCAATTTTTTTTAAAAAAATTCCAGAGTATATACATGAATTTTGATGCTTTATATCATTATCATTTATAAATGGTGTTAATAGTATATGGAACGTACACAGTGAAAAGGTACTCCTTTCATATCTTCTCGATGATCCCGAGCATAATCCCATAGATAATAATCAAGGAGAACTGCATTGATCTTTTCACCCATGTTCTCACCTTTCTTTTTATAAAGTTCAAGCAAACCACTGCAAATGAGCTCACAACACCAAATACTACAACCTCGAATCTCCACTTCCTGATTATCTCCAAACTGGAACACATGCCCTGCAAAATAGGGAAGGATCAAAGAAAGTAACATGAATAAAGAAAATGGGAATATAAGAAGAAATATTTTAATCAACGTATACCTAACATTTTTTACGTTAACCAGGGTTATTCAAGTTACATATTTTCTGTATTTTAATCTACAAAAGTAATTACGATGCTGCTAAATTGAAAGGGTTACAGTAGTTTTGAATTGCTTATTTATGTCTCACTCCCCACATTTTCTTGGTCCTTCATAACATTCCTAATTCTCTTCCTAACTAGGGGCAAATGTGCCCATCAGAGGGATCTTTGATAGTTCTTCTTGAGTAGACTGTAACTCAAGAGGCTGCCTATATCATATCAGGAGAGGGTCTTCACATAGAGGTAGGCCAGAAATTATTGTTTCTTGGATTGTACTGCACAGAAAAAGGCAATCTTCTTGCAGAAGAAGACATGAAACAAACTACTGGAATCTCAGAAAGAAAATGGCTCAGCTCAGTATACCCTGATCAGATAACAGCTATAGATTTTTGAATGGCAAGAGGAACAAAGATCCAGGAAGTTTAAGAAAGGTAGTAGAAGTAAAAAAAAGAGGTCTATAGTGAATTTCCACAGACAAGATTAAATCGATAAATGAGAGATTCCTAGTGCTTCTGATATACAGTGAGGGTAAAAAATTAATTGACCCTCTACTGATTTTGTACATTTGCCCACTGACAAAAAAATGATCAGTCTATAATTTTAATGGTAGATTTATTTTAACAGTGAGAGACAGAATAACAACAAAGAATCCAGAAAAACGCATTTCAAAATAATTATAAATTGATTTGCATTTTAATGAGTGAAATAAGTATTTGATCCCCTATCAATCAGCAAGATTTCTGACTCCCAGGTGTCTTTTATACAAGTAATGAGCTGAGATTAAGAGCACTCTCTTTTACCTGTATAAAAAACACATATCCACAGAAGCAATCAATCAATCAGATTCCAAACTCTCCACCATGGCCAAGACCAAAGAGCTGTCCAAGGATGTCAGGGACAAGATTCTAGACCTACACAAGGCTGGAATGGGCTACAAGACTATCGCCAAGCAGCTTGGTGAGAAGATGGCAACAGTTGATGTGATTATTCGCAAATGGAAGAAACACAAAATAACTGTCAATCTCCCTTGGTCTGGGGCTCCATGCAAAGTCTCACCTTGTGGAGTTTCTATGATCATGAGAACGGTGAGTAATCAGCCCAGAACTACACGGGAGGATCTTGTCAATGATCTCAAGGCAGCTGGAACCATAGTCACCAAGAAAACAATTGGTAACACACTATGCTGTGAAAGACTGAAATCCTACAATGACCGCAAGTTCCCCCTGCTCAAGAAAGCACATGTACAGGCCCATCTGAAGTTTACCAATGAACATCTGAATGGTTTAGAGGAGAACTGGGTGAAAGTGTTGTGGTCAGATGAGATCAAAATCGAGCTCTTTGACATCAACTCAACTCGCCATGTTAAG